ACAGGCGTAAGTAAGTAAGGCGTATGTAAGTAGGTAAGCAATAAACAACAATTCTCGACAAAGTATCAATTATCAAACTTAATTCATAGCTAATTCTTGTCCATAATTTCATGAGAGAATTCAAATTTCTTAATTTGATCGACAACGAAAATCAACTGATACGAATTTAGTGTATATTTTTTTTGCATGAGGGAAATAAGTTAAACTCAGGAAATTGAATTCCCTTTGTACGAAAAACAATGGTAACTAGAAAAACTAATCACACACTTTGAGTAATGATTTTTCTTTATTGATGTAAAAATGTTTAGAACATATAAATTTATAATAGTTAAATAAATGAGAAAAATTTTTTTAAATGTAATAGTTGAAATTCGATCTATTTATACAGTACATACATTACTGTCATTTTTGCATTCTGAGCTTTATGACTGATACCAACCTGGATGAGAAAGAATTCGGGTTAGTTGATACGGTTGCTTTGATTTTCAAAATACATACATGCATGTTTATATGTCAACGAAGTTTCGGAATTTCTTAATGCTGCATTTATATTTCGCAAGATAACAATGAATATTTTGCATTCACTTGATTTGTGTGTAATTTCACGTATTTCATTAATTGATGATATAAATATCTATTTCGCAAACATTGAATTTTCTTGTTCAGAAAAACAATCAAAATATTTTACTGACTGTAAACATTGTTTTTCGGGAAAGAGGAGATTTAGTGCGGAAAAAGTTCCGCTTAGTTTGAAAGTTTATTTCTAAATATTGTTGACATTCGTAATACATAGTTTGAGATTTAATGAAAATAATGCATTTCAGTAAATAATTTGGAGAAAAATTAAATCAAGTTGAACGTTACAATAAAGCATTATTTATTAAGAATTTTTAAAGGTTAGTTAGAACAATCAGATAATAAGGACTGTAAGGTGTTTTTAAGGTTCTTACTAGTTACTGAACACAAGTGACTGCAGAACGAATCGAATTAATAATCACAGAACTTACAAACAAACATTTAACTAGTAAAATGGAACAAAAAATTAACTATAACTGCCGACAAAAAGTCACCGTTTACGCGATTACTATTTGGAGTTAACAATGTAGTGCTTGTGTAATCGAATAGTTGTTAATCTTGTATCTAGTTAAACAATTCTGATCTTATTACCATGCACTTGAGCGAGTTCCCAGGGTTTTCAGCCTTTAAACCATAATTCAGTTTTAACTATCACACTACACATCAGTCAGCTCTTGGAAATGCTAGTCGCTTTATTGCATTCTAAATTGATAACAATTTAAAGTATCGTAAGCGCCTAACGAAATACTAATGTTAAAGTTAAAGAGAATATGCTCAAGAACATCTAGTGTGATCAAGAGAAAGTGTCATTCCTCAATGTGTCAACAGTTCTGTCCAAGCCTATTTAATGCGAACGGGTGATACGACCAATATGAATTATTCATTTACATTTATAATAGTTGTTGTTAATTATCTCATTAAATCTGTATTGTTCAAAGTCTTCAAAATGTTAGAGGCAATGGCTGTTAGATTGGAAAGCCAGAGTTTTATATTCGAGAGAGATAGGACGATAGAGCTTCTTTTATCTTGGAGAAAATCAGGGCCAAAAAATTAAAAGTTATTGAAATTATCAATCACACAATTGCATAGGCAGCTTTTCCTTTGACATTTTCATAGTTTACTTTTATGTTATTTACATATTCTTGTATTATTATTATTATTATTATTATTATTAAGATCTAGGTTTAGAGGTTAACCATTCACGCACGAGATCTTGATATACTGGGTGCTACCCTCAAGATAGCATATCAGTAGTAAACAGCAGGGTGGCGTTTTGAAGTTGATGCTACAAATTGGCGTGTTTGGAGATCGAAATGCATGGTGCGATCATAGTATAATAAAACCAAGAAGAAATGTAGGAGAAGACAGTCAATAACCTGATATTTTTGCAAATGAATATTTAAAGATTATATATATATATATATATATATATATATATATATATTGTAAATACCTTGTCTTCTCCAAATATATGTATTACGTTTGGTTTTGGCTTTGTTCGCACGTTTTACCGGTTTCGATTCCACGTACGGAGTCGTGAATGCGCACTCCTAACGAGTTCTATACCAAGACAAGACGACTGTCCACTATCCCTAGGCTTTAAATGCTGGTCTAGCTAGTAAATTTAACAGTGACAATAAGACAACGATCAGCATTTCAGAAATCTAATTGTCACTAAGCTTTAATCGACTACCTTTTTTTTTTAACTTAATCTATATCATATGCGTTATGTGGTCTTCTGATTTGTAATCACAGTATTTTTTCATTAACCTGACGTTATCTATATTTTTTCTGGTTTTTAGTTTCACAATTGACCTATAAGGCGACTCAAATACACACTGGTCATTTTAAAATTAATGATTCAAGTTTTATTTTATTCTGTTGATAATTTCACAAATTGTACTTTTAGGTGATATATTTGCCTCACACTTGGTTAACCCTTAGAAACATAAATTTGGATTATTAATTCTCGAACCTGTTGAAAGCTTGTTGAAAAGAGTATTCTTTTTCATAAATATGCATTTATAATTTGGCTAGAATTTTTAAACACCAATGAAATTTTCATAGTTTGAGTGATTTTAGCTAGACCACCACTGAAAACCTTGAGTCATCGGACAGCCGTTTCATTATAGTATCAGGCTCCTCAACAATGGTCACCCACAACCTCGTGATTGGAAATTAAACTCATGACCTTCGGTTTTGCTCGCATACACTAATTCTATAGACCACTGAAATCGCTTGAGCACTGACAAAATAGTCGATCATATTTACTTTGTGGTTATCAGTATTTGTACTTGATCAATCACATTTGAATAACACATCTTCTAAATGAAAATAAGTTATAATTTGTAAACAAATAACATGTTCTTAGTTGTATTACTAAGGATTTCAACTGAAAATGTAGGATAAAAATCACATATATTTTAAATAATATAATCGTACAACCAGGTGTCTAGACCACCATGTTGTCTGATATACAATTATGCATTATAACTGGCTGTAATGGTGGACTTTCATAAAATATCTGTGACCAGTTACAAATCTGAATACTGAGAAACTCAAGGAAGGCCATTATACTGGTTGGCTATACTTCTTTCATCAGAGGAAGTAATCAGAACGGAATGGATGCATCGCTTATGTTATAGAGTGAATAAAGATATGATGAGAAAAATACTGGAATTTATTATAATACTAGATATTTTGTGATCGGAATTTTCGTGTGTGACTGAATGTACCGCATTAAATTATTATTATTTTTATTATTGTTATTATTACCATTATTATTATCATGAAAATTGGATTCGTTTCAATATCATCAGTTTGATCAAGTGTGAAGTTTTATCATTGAAGTCCTATGAACTACTAAAACACTGAATAATGGCATCTATTGATTTCGTTTGTTTCATTAAGTAGTGGGTATAGTAAACAGTTTGCTTTACCGTGATTAAATTCTACTAAGGTCTACTAAGGTCTCTCAAACAAAATTATCATCAGAGATAAAATGTATAAAAGCGGAACCATATTCCTAAACCAAAGAAGATTGTTTAACCCACAGTGTGGATGTCATATAAACAGATTCAAATAAATACTGGAAAACGATATTCGCCAATTTTTCAGTGATAAGTTTAAATCGATTCAGTCGGCAGTTTAATACGTCTAAAACAATTTGAGCAATTTCAGTATTCAGTAAAATATTATTAATAATACCCATCACAAACAAATTCAAAAGTATGGAGTTTATGAAATGAAAATACATTTGTGATATATTTGAGTAGAACTGTAGAAATAAACTGGACACTTCAAACCTACCTCTTGAGTTTGATATAATTTTTCTTACAATATTTATTAAGCTATTTTTTATACATTATGTATGAAAGAAGGAACTACTTTTCAACTTTTTACTTCAAGAAATTGGTTTTATAGACGTTTTGTGGGAGAAAAAAAATGTATTTGAATTGTTGTCGTCTCTCTTCTAGATGACGTAGTTGTGAAGCTTTCATTATTCTTGAGAGCAACATCAGCACGCACATCAGTAAGATCACACTTCACGTTATGAGAGAAAACAACCACTCAATCATTTTAACCAGTGGTTGAAAATTTCGGGTGAGATTATTGAGCATCATTTCGTACTGCGCCCGCTCTATCTTTTTTCAGATCCCGAGATTTGAAATTATCTTATTTTTTTCTGTTCCGCGAAACGACGCTTATCAGACAATATTATCTATACCTGAACAGAATAATGAAAGCTTTACGAATAAATCGTTCAGATCAATTACTTCAAAACTGTGGATAAACTATACTGAAGAGGCCAATCTAGAAAAAATCCAAATCTATTGGTCTGTAAAAATGTAACAATCAGTGTATTGTGATTTGAGTTTGACCAAAGAATTTAATAGACAGAACTGTATCCGGTGAATTTGACAGCCTATACTCCATGATGGGTAACAGTTATAAATAATTATTATTTACCAAAGACTAAACCAATCAAAGTGGTACTTACTGACTGAAATGACAATGAAATTCGTCCTATATTTGTTAGAAACACACTCTTTTAGTTGACCATTATACCCTCCTTTTATCAGTGACCTGATTTTCTTCAGCAATCGTCTCTTGTCACATAATTAACACCAGTTCAAGCAATCGATCACTTATTCTACACAACCCATACATGCATTATCATAGATGTTATCTAATTTTTGTAAACGAAAAAGAATGTGTACTTCACATTTCGTATGGTAGCTTGCATTATATCAACTTTACATGTAACAACATTTTTAGTTAAGACTAAAAAGCGTTGATAGACATTTTCACTTCGTGCATAAAAAATTTTTATGTGTGAACGCTTTAAAAATTCCAAAACATTTTTGTATTTTCTTTATATATAATAATACAGCTTCAACGAAATACTGTATTACTTACTAAAACGGTAGTAATACAGCAAACAAATTGAAGTCCATATTGCGAAAATCAAAAAGTAATAAAATTGTTTTTGATGGTTATTAATGTAAATTACAATTCTGTTTATGAGTATTTCGGTTTTCATGTAATCTGAGGTAGTTGTGTTGTTTTCGTGATGTTCAAATTTACAATCAGACGGTCATTATCTACATAAAAATTTATTGACTCAGGATCGGGAATGCAATCAGATGCTTCATATTCTTTATAATATGTTCTTTGAACGATATGCTTAGAATCGGATTTATGAGAGTTCTGTTTCATTGTAGAATAATCAAGGTAAGTAATCGTTATGCATACTGAACGTTGTACAACGGTGACTTTTATGTTTTCTTTCCTGCAATTTTGATCTAAGGGGATCATTAAAATGAGTTTATTCCCTTCGCGTATGGTTTGATGTCGATCAAGATGGCGTGTTTGCGACTGTTCATCATTTTCTAGTTTGATATCAGGCTCGTTTGGAATGGAATTTTTACATTCATGTGTTACTGTTCCATTACAATCCTTAGTTTGTTCTGAATTTTTCTGTTTGCTTAAATCAAGAGACATGTATGGAATATCAATTAGAAGTAGACCATTTCGTAAGAGTATAATTTTAGAGTTTTCAACCATTACATTTTGAGGAACTGTGAGCCTATTTTGGACTTCACGACAGATGATTTCATTTGCTTTGTTAGTTTCAGTTCTTGCACTTATTATTATTTCCCTTTTAGAATTTAAATATGCGTTAAGTGAGTCCTGCTTAAGTCCTCTTGCATTCAAAAAGATCTTGAGAAAGCAGTTACCACCCGGGATATTTACTGTAAAAATAGTACACACGTGTTCCAAAATGTTAGATATTTGTTCCATTGTTTATGAAGAAATTCAATGGTAGAGAGTTGAACACATTTGAACATGACAGTGGAAGCGAATGTTTAATTTATTCAATCACTCAGTTTCGGATAAATTAATTATCTTGTGTTTACTTTCTCAATCAGGGCTTTGAACATGAACGAAAATTGAAGTTGTTTGTTTGGAAAATAGTTGGGAGTTACTAATGTAAACAGGATGAAGACGATTGCTATTGGTTATTTCTGGTCCACCAATAGGCAGTTAACATTCTAAAGGCAACAATCTCCTAAAAACAATTGACCCGCCTAAAAAGCATTATTAATTTTTTATAAGAAGCCTATACAAATGTTCCTAACCTAATTAAATATTGTTTATCGTCGTTGACTATCTCAATATTCAACATCCAAATTTGTTCAATTTTTCAAAAACACTTGAATCAAATGTTTACAAAATTTAACATAATCAAAATAGTTGAAAAATTCTCGAATCTCTGCTAACTGTTAATGACTGCTGACAGTTTTCGATTTGTTTAATTCCGTGAACGTGAAACGCTCATCAAACGCGGTACTTGTGATTTCTCTCCGTTCCTTTATGAATAATCCAATAACAGAAGTGAACATGAGCGTCCCGAGCCGTGCGACTAACTCAAGCAATACGATTTTATCTGAAGACCGAACATGTCACAGAAATCAAATGACATCATCGGACGCCGTCGGGCGTTCAATGGCACTGCTACCCATAAATCATAATCATGCTTTACATCATGGAATAAAATTGATGCCTCACATAAACATGCCTCACAGGGAAGTAGGAGCAACAACACCTTTGGTTAATAACTCCAGCACAGCCAGTACGTGCTCGATGTCTCTTCCAGGTTCAATATCATCCACATCAGACACTGTTTGCAACGTTCTTCCACATAACACTTCTGATAGCAGTTCAATCGATCTTGCCAGTCTGTTCGAATGCCCTGTCTGTATGGATTACGCGCTACCACCGATTATGCAATGTCAAAGTGGACACATCGTTTGTGCATCATGCCGATCCAAACTTTCGTCATGCCCAACTTGTAGAGGCAACTTAGGTAAGTTTAATACATTTTAATTCACGATTTTTAATGTTCTCAACAGCTCTGGTGTTAATGATATGATTTAATTCCTTTCCATTCATAAAATTGCAGTGCGAAGCACACAAAATATATCCTATTATTGAAGTGTTAGTATCTTTTATTACTTATTCGTTCTCTGGATTTCATCACAGATGAAGATTCGTGGCATTGAAAGCCTGTCCTGTACGCTATCTTACACATTTTCATAACATGTAAAAGATATTGTACAAAAGCTTTTCCATGTGTGGGAAAATTTATTCAGTCATCATGAATTCGGAACCAAATGATGATTTATTAGCATCAACATAGTGACTTTTATTTAACTCTGGCAAGCAAGCTTTATGTCTATCATTCCTTACTTTAGTAACTAACCATTTTTCGATATACATTTTAAGTAGGTTGATAACTCACGCATCTTCAGTCCCAATGACACTGTGTAAATAGTAATAACTTACAAATAATAGTACATCCGACTTTCACGATTTGTTTTCTTATCCATTTCATCAGCCATGATTTCACCTCGGAAAATTCAGTAACTAGCAAAATTCTGGACATTCAAATGGTCTTATCAATTTCACAACCTAATTGATTAAACTAGGTGTACCTTTTTGAATCGCTACATGTGTATTTCTTTACAGTCCGTCGAAAGCTCGCAAGTGTATATTATCTTCATAGAGCATTACAAAGACAACGCAGTTGACTTTATTATATACGAACCTTTTTTTACCTATGGTATTTGGTCCGTCCGTTCCATAACTCCTTTAGATAGGCCTGGTTAAACAGGTTACTGAACAAGCGAAATGTCCTGGTAATATAATCCTCTTCAATCTCGGTGAGAATTCATGGTTTATAAACTGACATTCTCTGTAAAACAAAAGGCTTCAACTAAGAGCATTCATAAGGTGTTCACTTTCTGCTTCAACTCTCGAAATCTATCTTATTTGGGGATCTCATGTCTAGCTTATAGCACGCGAATGCGTTAACCCTGTCTCGAGATAACTTGGGTGAAAGGTAGGACCACATATTTGCATCAGTAAAGGTTGCTGATGTTTAGTATTTATTACACATCTACCATGAGTTTGGTGACGTTTAAGAAAAGTCTGTACCAATCTTCATTTTGAAAAGAAGAATAAAATGGTAAAGTCTGCAAAACAGCATATTTATTTACTCAGCCGTATTATCTCTCTTCGATTATTCGTCAATAATGTCAAAAAAAGTGTTTGTTAACGATATGTATAATTATACATCACACTATAGGAGACAGTTTAACAAGTCCGAAAAGACTTAAGTGTACGTTTCTAGATAAAATTTGACAGATATGATGTTAAACTTGTTCCATCTAGGTTTGAGTTGATACTGCATTTGCATTGTTAGGTAATCAGTTACAGAGAAAGCAAAGCGAGTAAGCCAAAAATATCATTGATTGTAATCGGCATCTATATCTCAAACATTAATTTATAATCACTAAACTCTTCGTATATCAGTATAAGTCATTATGGCGTTTTCATCTATCATGTGGTCGACAAAGGTTCACAACCTTGTTTACTAATTTGCATAAACTCCGGGGACTGTGTGGCATCGATGCCTGCAACATCACCTTTACCTTCGTCAGTTGTTTCACATACATAAAGTAGTGAAAAAGTAACTAGTGCATAGCGACTTCTCCTTCCATAACCATTCGTATTGCTCCTGTCTTAAATGGGACATAGAGCAGTGACTTGATAGTTACAACACTTAGCTTTCAGCAGTTACTTTAGATATTCGAATCTGCTTAGTTCTTTTAGTTTGACTAGCCAGGTAATATCATTAAGCTGCAAATTTATCGGTTTGAATCCGGCTACGTAGACCTGTAGTTGGTAGATAAGCTTGCATAGATTGTAAAAAGGGAGCCAAGCCCTTTTCCTTTCAAAATTTTGTCAGTTTTTTACCCACCAGGCTCGTTAAATAGTTAATCCATGTAACTTGATATTGTTTAGTCAACATTAACAATAACAGAAATCACTCCTGAAGCAACTGCTTGACGGAAAAACTAGATCTTGTTTCTTATCTGTAATTCTGTTTTGACCTAACTGTTTCTTGAGTTTCAACACTCGACTATTCGATAGTTTACTTTCATTAATAGTATGCAACAATAATACTGTTTTATTCTTACTATTTCGAGTCCCACCCGTTGATTCCTTCCTATACCCTGAATTTTTCTTAATTGGTGTTGTTTCAGTCAACTTCCAGATAACCATTCAGTTAACACCTCGTTTTTCTTCTCTTTCGAAGATAATATCCGGAACCTCGCGATGGAGAAACTTGCTTCCAGTGTATTATTTCCTTGTAAGTATTCCACTAGTGGTTGCCCAGAAACTTTCCATTATGCATCCAAATCAGAACATGAGGCGGTTTGCGAATACAGGTATGTTTTCTACATGATTTTCTGATTTTGTCCCAGTCGTTACCTAATTTATGTTATATACACCAACGCATTTTATTTTTCACAGGTTCTTTGATATTTTATGGAAATATATAAGCATGCTCCTTGTCTGTACTCACTATATTTACAAACACCGAAGTTTAAGTATTTGTTGGAGTCTCAGATAATCTCTATCTTTCTCCTTCTAAATTTATCTTACTGAATTATACTTCTCGAATCATATCTTCGCTCCCTAATCTTCTCCATTACTGCTAATACTTCTGCTATCGCTATCACTCTTGGATTTGAACTGACAGTTGCGTCTCTGTGCTGATGTGGTATGGCAACCTGAACTGATGTACGTGCGTACGAAGTTCTGCGTTGTATCTGTCTGTCTGTCTGTGAGTCTCAACTGTTGAGCTTCCACATTTGTCACTGGAGTCGTCACCGTGTCATATCCTGCTCTTATAAACGTTACAATGCCGATAAAACCGCGAAATTGCTCTATCTGAGCATAATATACTTGAAACCTGTGATATATCAGTCAGTGAAGTATGAATTTTCATCGACTTGAAGTTATTAAAATATACATTACGTATACATAACCGCCGCCTATCTTGACAAACTGTTTTGTAGTGCCGAAGTAGGTCGGGAGAAAGCTAGATTCGGCCGAACCAGTGGCATCAGTCAATAAGGTCATCGATTGTTGACATGAGCCATGTTGGTGGACGCTGGCTAACTAGTTGAATTTCGTGTGATAACCGTAGTTAATGGTTAGAATTGTCAACATTGGTGCAAATGCATCCTCTTGATCTTGAGTTCCAGTATTTCTTCATGCATACCGTCTACTATCGTTTAAAACCACAGTTCAAGGGTTTAGCTTTTCTCTTTGCCTTTGCTACTACATTGTGTCGATCTCCTTTGTCATTTTTAATGTGGCATAGTTCTATGTTGGTTTTGTTTGCCTGTCTTTACTACACTATTAAGATATAAACAGCTAACGAATTCGTTGAATGATGGAGACTTTTTTAGTTTAATCTTAGCACAATTAAAAGCTATGTTTGAATTTACCCATTGTAATGCTTATTACTGCAAGCAGAGGGTTAAAAAAGCCCTCGTTCGTATCACTAAGTTATAACTTTGTCTGGGCACCTTTTCAAAATAAGTTACATTTGTTAGCGACTTTTCATCAGTTATTCGGTATCAGAAAACCTTGTAGGCAACCTTAAGTATGTAAATGACTTCATTCCTGTAGTTGGAGTGGTTTTCTTGATACTGTTTTGCACTACGTTAACCAGATATTTAAAGTTGTTGAAGCCAAGTTTCAAACTCATCAATTCCTATAAATTAGTTCTGTGTCTACAGTGGAAATGAGAATTGAGATGTTTTTACCTACTTCTCATTTTTGTTACCTCGAAATTCAATTTCTAATTATCGCTAACAAGTTAAATCACAATCTGAATCATTAGGATTGATTTGAGTACATAGTATCACTGGCCTGTATTTTAAGAACAGTTTATAAAAAGTACCTGTATTTGTTGTTACTGTTCTGCGGGCAGTTTCATCAGTGCTGATGGCCTGGTGACTGACGAAATCTCAGCACGTATACAGAAAGCTCGACTGGCTTTTGCCAACCTGCGTCACTTTTGGCGAAGGCGAGATATCCGTTTGCTGACTAAAGGACGAGTGTACTGTGCAGTAGTTCGCTCCGTCTTACTTTATGACTGTTAAACATGGCCAGTAAGAGTAGAAGATATTCGTAGGTTACTGGTTTTCAATCGCAGGTGTCTTCAAACCATTGCTCGTATATCCTGGGACACCCGAGTGAGCAACGCTGTTATTAGGAAACGGGTACTAGGTAAGAATGGCAGATCAATATCTGAAGTAATGAAACTTCATCAGTTGAGGTGGTTGGGACATGTGCTGCGTATGCCTAACCACCGACTGCCTCGACGAGCTTTGTTTTGTGGTGTAGGAGTAGGTTGGAAGAAAGTTAGGGGCGGCCAAACCAAAACATGGCAGAAATCCATGAAGTCATTGACAAGTGGACTGAGTCATGTTGATAGATGTAGGCTACCTGGTTGGGGTCCACGAGATGACAGTATTCGATGGTTAAAGACTCTGAACGACATGGCTCAAAACCGTTTGAATTGGCGTAGGTGCATCCGTTCTTTGCGTTCTCTGGAATTCTAATCTTCTGAATCACCAGCACCTCTATCTTTTTCTAAATTTATTTCACCTAATTATACTTGAATAATATCTTCGAACCCTAATCTCTCCGACTACGGCTAATACTTTTACTATTTCTACCACTACAGTTGCATTTCTGTGCTTATGCAGTATCGCAACCTGAACTGATGTACGTACGTACCGATTTCTGCGTTTTTACTGAGTCTCCGACCCTTCTTATTAGATTTTAGGCTCACATTGCACTCAAGTAGCTTTGTATGAAACTAGCCGACTGTTATTTGTTCCAACTAAGTAGAACAATAAACTTTTATGGTCACCACAGAGACCTGATTCCCCTACCTCGTTACATCCATGAAATTGTCATGGTGTAACCTTGTGTTTCTGTTCTTTATTTCTCAGTCTGAAGACTAATAACTCAAATACATTTCATTTAATTTCATCCTGAAAACTGATCGTAATACTTTTATAGTTCGTTTTTTCAACATAGTAATAATCGTTCATTGCTTAGCAAAGAAGCATGTACTGGTGTGTATTGAATAATGCTTGATAGTCAAGTGTATAGATTTATCGCCTTTTAGTTCTGTTTTTCCCATAACTTGTACTTATTCACGAGTATCTATTTGGTAAATAATCACTTTAGGCCTTATGATTGTCCTTGTCCTGGTGCCTCATGTAAATGGCTTGGTGAACTGGAACAAGTTATGCCTCATCTTATGCATCATCATAAGAGCATTACAACTCTGCAAGGTGAGAACAATACGGAATTTTTTCCGAACAGATTATTAATTAATATTGTTTGTAGAAATATGGATTTTGTGTTTGTCTCATAGTTATAATTTGCAGCTGTTTTTTTAGAATAATTGTACAAACCAATTTCGTTTATTACTTCGAGATATTTAAGTGAGGTATCAGGAAAGGATTACCTGTCTAAGAATATCAAAGATTACTTGTAAATCTCAAGTTGTTCGTCTTGTGAATTGATTAAACTTACTTACGCCTGTTATCCCCAATGGAGCGTGGGCTGCCGACCAGTACTCTCCAACCTACTCTGTCCTGGATCTCACTTTCCAGTTCTGTCCAAAATTTGTTCATTCTCATGTCTGTCTCCATTTCTCGGCGTAATGTTTTCTTTGGCCTTCCTCTTTTCCTTTTACTTTGGGGGTTCCAAGTGAGATCATATCTTGTGATGCAGATGGGTACTTTTCTCAATGTGTGTTGTCCACTTCTAGCGCATCATCCTGATTCCCTCCGCTTTTCTCGCCCACAGTCGGTTGTTGCTGATAGTGTCTGGCCAACGGATCCTTAGTTTCTTGTGAAGACAACTGTTAATAAACTCTTAGATAATGGCTTTTGTATTTCTCCAAGTTTCCACCCCATACAGTAGAACTGTCTTGACATTTGTATCGAAAATTCGGACTTTGGTTTTAATTAATAGGTGTTTTGAGTTCTAGAGCTGTCCTCTGTGCACGATTTTGCAGTTTAATCCACCATAAGAATTCCGTATGATGTTGACTGTCTTCTCAGACATGTCGTAGTGTCGAAGAAGCTTCCACAGTGTTGTCATGTCTACGCTATCAAATACTTTCTCATAGTCAATAAAGTCGATGTAGAGTGGTGAGTTCCATTCAATTGATTGTTTCACAGTGATCCGTAATGTTGCGGTCTGGTCAGTACACGATTGATCCTTACCAAATCTACCCTGTTGATCTTGAAGTTGGGCATCTACTAAGTCCTTCATTCTGTTTAACAATACCCTGTTGAAGACTTTGCCTCTGTAGTTCTCACACTTGCTGAGATCGCCTTTCTTTGGTATTTTGATCAGGTATCCTTCTTTCCAGTCTGTTGGTACTTGTTCTTCGTCCTAAATCTTGTTGAAGATGATATGGAATATTTTTGCAGTTGTTTCCACGTTTGGTTTCATTGCCTCTGCTGGAAGGTTGTCTGGTCCTGCTGCCCTCCCGCTCTTGATTTGTCTGATGGCCATACTGATCTCTTTATTTGTTGGTGGGCCAACATCGATTGGGAGGTCCGTGGATGCTGTTTCAATGTTGGGTGTGTTCAGTGGAGCTGGTCGATTCAAGAGTTCCTTAAAGTGCTCTACTCACCTATTTCGCTGTTCTTCAGTGTTGCTGATTACTTAGCCTTCCTTGCTTTTCACTTGTCGTTCTGGTTTACGATAGTTTCCAGAGAGCTTCTCTGTTGTATCTTACAATTGTCTCAAGTTTCCTTCTCTTCCAGCCTTTTCTTCCGTCATTGCTAAATCTTCCACATATTTTCGTTTGTCCATTCTGATGCTACTCTTCATTTGCTTGTTTGCTTCTGTGTATTCAGCTTGTGCCCTGGCTTTCTCTGCGGATGACCAGTTTGAAAATCACCGTTTTCGTCCTTTTCTCTTAGTTCTTGTCGTCTCATGATGTCTTCATACCCAGTGTTTTCCTTTCCAACGTTGTTGTTTAATTCTTACCTTACAACTGACTTCACTAACTAGTTGTCTATAATCCGTCTGTTTGTACCACCTCTAATATTTACACATAAGACCTAAACGTGTTTTTTTCCTGACCTCATTATATTAGTGAGTGTGTATTGCCGACAAGCCAGTAACTAAAACGAAAAAACTACTAAAAATCAATATAGCGGTTGTTTTTCTACTATCGTGGTGGGCCTTGCCTGTTTTGACGCTCGAGTAAGTCTAAATTGGCTGGAACACTTTTCCCCATACTAAAATAGTCGATTGATGAAGAAATTAACTAAAAAAGCAGATGAAACATATCATGGTAATATCATCCTGCACATTGTACTATAAGTTTTTTCCTATGAAAAACCGGCATTTCTAGCGACGTTATCTCCGGAATTCGGAATCTTCTCTTCTGACAACTACTGTAGATCTTTATTATTGCTGAAATATGTAGTGATCGTAGTGAATGAGTAAATAAACTAAAATGAGGGAAACCCTCTCTAGAAAGGGTATTTTAGTACTTCAACCTGCTGTTTGCATCAATCGTGATTTGAAATGTATTTCTGATAATTACCAGAAATAAACATTCAACTTCTCAACCACCAACATGCCATTAAGCTACAAACAGCTCTTAAAAGGATCATCTAGGGGTTGCCGATTCTTACGATAATCATACCTGAACTTAGATTATTTATGTTTGTGAGGGAGTAGTAATAATCTAAGATAAAAATGTTCAAGATATATTCAATAGAGAACTAGAACATTTGATGAGTGAGATGTTGACTTAATTATAGTCTTGTTCGATATTCAGTTTGCCAATAAAGACTAGTATATTTCTCTTAAATTTTGAACTTTCGTCAGCATCCTAGCAGGTCCCAAACATAGTGAATGAAAAAAATCAGCAAGTTAATGCAGTAGTCATTGGTAGCAGCAAGTAACAAAAGAAGCCAAAAATAAAGAAAAGCAGGAGCTGGTGGTTTAAACTTACCAAAGACACTAGGTTTAGCGCATTCGTGAGTTGGTGTAATTTTTGCAGAAGAAGTAGGATCAATGACCCATTCACAGATATAGCAATTTAGCTAATGGAACCGTTTAAGGAATAGCTCAACTGATCAGCTATTCAGCTCTTCATTGTCCGAAAACTCCCTAAAGAAGAGATAGACAACTCCAGTTGTATAGGTGGTCTTTTCAAGTGATAGTCTCAGCCTGTTGACGAGAAGCATTCGACCTAGTTTTGTGCTCATTGGCGCTCAGGAGGAAGTTTTTCTTTGGACCTTTAGAGGACTCACTTTCCCCGTAGCATATGAACTTGCGCCGTCCAGCATAACAGTCTGAAATGTTATCACTCAGCCATCTTGAGCACTATCGACATGCGAGACTAAGATATTCACACTGATTAACGTTGTGATGTCAAGTCCCTAAGACTTGTGTTCATATTACAATTCAATCTTTAAAGTTTGGTCAGCATTAAAAACTAGACAAACATAACACATGTTTCTATTCAGTGGTCAATCTGTATGAATAAGTTCCCAACAATCCTTTTTTTAATAGCTCATTAATCGATGTCGTATTTTTACCAAACAGCAGAACAATCATGTTCTTTGATTTCATAATCGTTGTAATATTATATTTTTGTGTTATAGGTGAAGATATTGTATTTTTAGCTACTGACATAAGTCTACCAGGTGCTGTAGATTGGGTTATGATGCAATCTTGTTTTGGTCACAGTTTTATGCTGGTTTTAGAAAAACAGGAACGTGTACCAGATCAAATATTTTTTGCTTTGGTCCAACTCATCGGAACCCGAAAACAGGCAGATCAATTTGTGTACAGGTAAGAATTTTTTTGATTGTTAAACGCAATTTTAGAAACGCAGCTTATTTCCTTTTCTTATAAGTGAGTTTCTAGTAATTTTTGTGTAGAACGAAACCATACTGTGTAGTTATAATATGAACATACTTTCAGTTTATAGCTTTAATATTGGTTTCTGTAATAAATACTAAACACGTACATTATCCTTAACTACGTATCCTTATGAAAACTACTAAATTAGCGAAACATATTAGCATATAACCTAACACATCACTGCTCCTCAACAATCATTATTTGTCATTTCACGGACCTCATATTTAATGAATGTGACTCTTTGAGAGCAAAATAACAGTGGCTTCACTAAATCGAGTCATATCTCAGTGTAGCTGCGTCTCGCTTTTTTACAATCTAAATTTAACATGGCATAATACATGAAAACTGACAAATTCCTAATTCAATTAGCATATGCCTTAATCATGTCATTTGGTGCAAGTTGGTAGTATTTTTATCCAACTTCATCTCCTTATGTACAACTTTATTGGTTGATTCCAACATCCCTCACTTCGTGGTTTCACCAGACGGCTATACTCCAAAGACATATTTGTTTAATCGGCTGCTTTTTATTGAACATTATGTATTACAACAATGAGTTATCACTATGCCAATATACCTAGAAAATTGAAATCAGGGATCTCACCGGTTCCATTGAAAAAGTAGGTTTGAGAGTTTTGATCGAATGTTCCTTATTTTCGGGGTAACTTAATAGTGAACCAGCAACCGGCTTTTACGCTTCACAAATAATTGTAGCTATCCTCAGTGTCCAGTTTCATTCCTGACTGGCACTCAGGATAGACTATTTTCAAAGATTCTCTGTAGGACCTTCTTTTGTGCTTGTTCCATCCTTACCGATTTCGCTAAGTGCTAAATGGATGGTTTTACCTAGTTTGTAGTCAAATCATCGGAACCAGAACGTAGCTTTAGACCAGTTAGACTGTTATTCAATGTTTCACCCATCCACTAACCTCTTTATAAGAGGCTATCAATTGCCATTTTTCTGTGATCTAAAAATATTTTATATATAGGAACCCTTTATCTTATTGATGAAACTCAATCCATGCCGTGAAAACCCGTTTATGGTCTTTTCGTTAGCAAAAACACAATAATAAAGAATTTCAAATCCACAGTAGTTAGTTTTATCACTGGCGTGCGAATTGTCCACTTCTCGTGGATTTTAAAGTGACTATATTTATTAAATGGATTTTGTCTAGTTTTATCTAGGTCTATGAAATTAAAACTTACACAAAATATCCATGATGTATTTAACGGCTAATGACATATTTATCGACGTTATTCACATATTTACTTTACCTGCATTTACACAAAAACTCAAATCCATACAGTCTCTTTTATGCTTATTCTTCCTTAATTTTTTCTCATGATTATTTTTACACTTTAGATTATCGAGTTAATTCTAAATAAAACCAGTTGTCTTTGAATTAAAATAAGCTTAATTTTCCTTCATTCACATCTACTGCATTTGTCTGCGAAATAAATGATTATTTTCCCAGTATTTGTAGAGTTTCTTTGAAATTATCGATAATACAACTCCACCTTTGATATACTTTGACTTTAAGTTGCATTTTTCCCAGTAGAAAATCCTTATTACTACTGCTACTACTAATCGAGTGAACCTGAATTATAAATAGATCAACAGTAGGTTTAAAACTTGCAATATAGTAATTGGATTTCTAATATTTCAATAAATGAGTTTACTTGTATGTTTTTTTTCTTCACTGTAGTTTATATAAATCATTTCCTGTGTTGTAAGTAATATAGCTTAAAATTCATGTTACTTTTAAAAGGTACCATTATTTCTTATCTTATATGTGATGTTACTAGATGTTTTATTCAGTCATTTGTTTATTTTTGTTTTTCTTAATAGACTTGAATTAAACGGACATCGTCGACGATTAACATGGGAAGCATGTCCACGTAGTATTCATGATGGTGTTCAATCTGCAATCGCTGTATCCGATTGTTTAGTGTTCGATTCGAATACAGCTCATTCATTTGCTGAAAATGGTAATCTAGGAATCAATGTGACTATTTCCCAAGTTTCCCCGTCAATTTCATAAGTTCAAATAGTTCATCTTATTTTCTTTTGTATACTTTCTTTTGTGTGTGGGAAAATTCCGTTGTCATCATCATCATCATTCATTTTTGCCACATCGAGCTTATTATCTTAGTTCTCTTTGCTTTTACACATACTTAAGTTTTATTAAACTTTATCATTATTGAATATCAGTCGATGTTTGTAACCGTTTTTTTTTCTATAGAAAGATAAAAAAACATTTACAAACATGCATTTGGTTTCATTTACTTTTTCATTCTTTTACATTATGAAACTTAGCCTCTTCATGTGTTTTAGTTTTCAAGCGCCTTAACTATCCAATTATCATCTCATATATAATACACATGCACATACATTTCCTTTTTAGACAATTCACTTTACTAGTTTTTTGTGAATGTGTGTGTGCGTGTGTTTGTTGTATATTACCAGTCCATTGAACCCAGTCCATGTAAATAATTGAGTTTACCATCACCTATTTCTATCTCATTACCTACCACAGTTCATTCACATCCAAATATTCAGTGATTATTAATTGTTTGTCGAAATATCAATCTCAAAAATAAACAAACAAAGGCAAACGCATACATTTGTTTTTGGTTCTTATTTTGTTAGTCCTATTTTATTTTCTCTTATGTTTTTTTTTCATTGAAATTCCTTCTCCTTGTTGTTTTTTCGCTCCAGAGCTGTTTATGTTTTTTTTTGTTCTTAAAAAAGGCGTTAGTATCCTATCATGTATAAATTTGATTTTAAGTGAAAAGAAAGTTACTAATCCTTTGGTTTTATTTGAGGTATGTTTACGATGACTTGACGATTATTGTGTGAAACAAACGGAAAAAAGTGACCACTATTGTCAATACATTTTTTGATTTATTTGTTCGTTTGTTGGTTTATTTTTTTCATCGAATTCTTGTTCATATCAAACTAGTTCGTTTTTTTTGTGTTTTTAAGAAATCATGTTATCAAGAAATGTCGCTGTGTGCACGTATGTACTTTTAAGTGGTTGAACATGATTGATTTTGGTCGCATCCAAAAACCTGTAAACAAATATACATAATTTTTCGTAGCAGTATTGGGATTATTTGAGATCTTACTTAATCTGAACACGTTCTAAGGTGATGTTGTACGACTGAACAGTTACATGATATGCTTCTAATCAAGTGTATTTTGGTCAGTCATTCTAGTATCGAATGTTCTCGCGTTTAAAGGAAAGACCATAAGATTGTAACTGATTTAAAACAATTTCCCGCTTTTGCTCAATGGTGGTCATACTAAACAAATGATAAATGTCTAATAAAAGAGTAAAGATGCACATATCGATTTCTACTGCCGTAGATGTTAATTGCTTAAATGATACGATGACTCGTTCGTTTCCCTATAGATGTATACTTCTTATTCTTTCGTATTCTTTTGCATTTGCGTATTGGTTCGTGTTCGCTCCATGTGCTCGTGGTTTTGTACGTTAATAAACTGTAGTCAACGCTTCGTATTGCTTTCCGAAATGTATACACTATTGAGATTTATCTAGTAGCGGTTATCAGGATGATTGATATACAAAGCATAGAAATTATTCCGAAGCTAATCCACTGCATACCTCTACTTACCAACAACCATATGTAGACTTGATCATCGAGATTCATTCAGGAACAACAGCCATGTTCCATAAAATCTATATTTAAACATGCTCGATAAAAAAGATCAAGGTACATTATTTCTCACGTGAAAGTTAATCTAATTATTCATGCACAAACAAAGTTCCCAGCGAGTAAACTTTAGATAAATTATATGAGCTGTATTCAATATGTGGCGAATTCTAAAATGAAAAAATCTCTCGGCCGATAGAATAAACTCCTAAGTGTTAAGTTACAAAAAATGTTTTGGAATTCTGGCATCGTAACAAAAACGTAGTGTTCAAACTCCTGACCGATTTTATCACAAAAGCTTTATTCATTAATTGCATCCTTTATCGTATTTTTCTCATTCTGAATAAATTTCTTATCGCCCCAACGCAGCTAAAACTTCAGGTCGAACGAATGTTACATATATTTTCCTGTATTGTCCTGCTTCAAGTGCGTGATTAAAATAAAACTATCTAATGATACACAAGTGTTTCATATTCTGGACAACCATAATATAAAAACTATTCAGTTTCAGTTGCTTAATCCCTCTAAAATGACAGAAGTACCATGCATGTGTACGAGAGTAAGATTAGATAACCGTTATACGCATTCATTGATACTACCCAGGTTAGAAACATCTGGTTAGCAAGTGAATTTCTAACTCTTTAAAACGGTCGAAAAAATACAAATTTTCGAGTATGTTGAAACTCTTCAAGAGTGAATAACTGATCAACGAAAGGCGATAAAACTAATTGTCGACAACCATCATCAAGGTACCATATTATATCCAAATTGTTAGTCGATTGACGTAGGTTGAAGGTAATCGATACTTCACCGAATATTAAATTTACGGTCACAAAGCCTGAACAGATACACATCGAATTACTTGGGTATTTTCTTGTCTTGATAATGCATTTCATTGTTTATCTGTTAAATTTTCCTAGTTAACTAAGCCTCTCGCTGAGATTCCACCGGTGACTAATCGTGTGGTACACCACATTGTCACTGGCGGACCCCCAGTTAAGGCAAAAGTTTGCCACTGGCACCAGAAAAGTTATCTTTTTTAGGCGTGAGTTTGAAACTTTACTTGCTACATGTATTTATCGTGCTTTTCACAGTCTTTGGGCCTCTTCATTCTTGATGCTTCGTAAGAAAGATGGGGTTAGCTGGAGGCCATGAGGCAAACGTTGCTGCTCTGATCCCACACATATACAATATCATGGCACCACTCAAGGGCACGACCGTCTTTTTTAAGATCGATCTAGTACGATCATATCACCAGATATCCAGAAAAACGCAGCCATCACTCTTTTTGGTATTTCTGACTTCCTATGAATGCCAATGTCTCAATCAACTGCTCTCTTCCTAGTTGCTTCGGAGGTATAAACACACTCTTTCATTTGCAAACACAGGATATTGTGGACAAGTAACTGGATCCATGCAAAGTTTTTTACTAAAACGGTTCAAGTTGCGATTTTGGAGTACATTCAGGTTCTATTCCTTCGTAGTTGTATTTATATACTAATAATTTCTTACTTCCAAACTCTTATTTCACTGATTTTCCTCTCTTAAATATCTCGTTTTTCATCTCTAAATCTCTCAGGTATCATGTTAAGCACTGAGATTGCTACCACATCTCACACTAAAACGACCAAGAAAACCTGCAGAATTATGAAACCCGGGGTTAATAATAGGTCGAGAACCCCAGTTTCGAGCGACAGGGTTGCGAAAAAACTCAAACCGTCACTCAAAAGCATTCCTCAGAGTAGTGTATATAATTTGGATCACTCAACCTAAACACCTACACTAGGTCTCAAACAGACTCCTCCGAATCCTGTTCCTAAAAAGACCAGTAGGCCAAACAAAGATAGGAGGAACAGGCGTTCTTAGGTCCAGTCAACACAGTCTGTCGTACAGAAATCGCACAAGAATGACTGTGTTGCCTGCTCATTGCCAGTCAAAATCAGTGACTTTGCTTTTGAATGAAATTTCTGTAGCAGATGGGTCCATTGTTACTGCGACACTACAGTACCTAAAGAGTACTATGGGTTCATGTTGATTCTGGTATATCTGCCCATGGTGCACAGTATCTGAGGCATTGGCGAGATCACAGGCCCCACCCAAAATCAGCGTCAAAGTCCCAACATACAAACCCAAGTCGCCTGGAACTAAAGTAGCGAAAGAGGCTACCAAGGCAGGCAAAACCCTAACCAACACACTGACAAAACTGCCGATTGTTGTTAATCCCCCAGTATCTGATAATAATATGGAACATCGGGTGAATGTTGAAAAAGGGGAACGGTTACACCTGAACTCACAAACGGCTAGCACTCATGGACAGGGACGATAGACTAAATTCACTAGTTTTATTTAATGTCCCAGAGTCGGAAGGTAGCGCACTAGAAGGTCCGCCTTTGACAAAGAACAATGGCATAAACACTGCGTCATCCTCGGAAGGTGCAATACCCCAGTAAAAGTATGCCGCCTTTTCAAAGGGCAGAATGTCTCTGAAGGGAAACTCCCTCCAGTGAGAGTATCACTATCCTCGGTACAACTTGTCGAAGATATCCTCCTCTCATCCCAGAGACAATAGGTTAAACTGTCCCTTCCGATTTTCATCGGGCACGATGAACCGTGGTCAGTACAAGTGGCAGGCAGGATATCATCAGGCACCCAATAGCAGACTAGTATGGTTGTTCACGTCCTGTCCGAACTGGACGGTGGTAGCCTGGATGAAGCTCACGCGCATAATGCGCAACAGTGGCGGTGGCGACCACCTACCCTGCGCATTCACACCACAACGGGTATTCGCATTTTTAGGCTGCTCTGTACGTCACACCTCACGTCTATTGAGTCATCACGTCTAATGGCTGTGAAATCCACGTATCGGTAAGACCTGATTTAGGCACTCCAAGCTTGGTACACTTGGAAGAATGACCTCTACTGTCGCATTAGGTGCTACAAAAGCCAAACTAGATGTGTGAGACAACAACAGAGAGGCCATAATATACTCACAAAATTGGCGGTTGACCTCGATCAACAACACTTGGAACAAGACACGAAGATAATAGCCTCGTTGATTAAACGCACTAAACATGCAAAAGCCCTGCAGAGGCCAGTACCCACAGAACTGGCCAACTCGGTTCGAAAATCCGACCACAGGTGTCGCCTCAGCGGTGCAGCAGGAGCTGAAAAAACCCAGGTTTAAGGGGTAAGCTGTTATAAATAGGGAATATGTGCTTCCAGATGAATCTGAAGCTCATAATCTTAACTGGAACATGGCTATCACCTGACATTGCGGGCGACGGAGTTAGCCTGCATGGCATGACACTCTTCCGAAGCCATAGGTACACCAAACAGGGGCCGAAGTGGATATATACATAAACAGCCACGTAAAAGCCGAGCGGCTATAGGACACCCAATTAACTGAGGTGACAGAATCTTGTTCGTGTTGTTTCCATACAAATGGCAAGAAATACTTGATTGAAGGGATTTACCGACCCGCCTCAGTTACTAAGGCCCAAAAAGATAAACTTCCTGAGGCACTGCTGCAACTACTACTCCTGCGGTTTGATCATATACTCTTAGCTGAAGATCTCAATACCCCGTCCCTAAATCTCAGCAATCAGGGTACAACTTCTTCTGATTGGTTCCAGAGACGATTAAGCGCAGCCATTAGACGCTCTGGGCTTACTGAGCATGAGATGGTGGGGAAAATTTTGTAGCTCAGGTGGATGATTGTGGTGGTGTTTTGTTCTCGGAGCTGGATGTCTTGGTTTGGAGCTTTCATTGTTCTTCTGAACAACATCATCAGCACAAACTTCAGATAGAAGTAATCGAATGCTTCAATTCTGCATTTTCAGAGATCTAAACATATTTGGCACAAGCCAAACTCCTTGCTCATCCTATCCCGTCAGCCAAGCTCAGTATTGCGGTTGATTCATTGGATTTTATCATACATCAGGAGTTTTTCTCACGATACCTCACTTCTACAGAGACGAGATATAATTCTTTTGGTCCAGAACTCCAACAGCCTACTTTGCCATCAAACGTTTTCGGCATACAGCTGGAGACCGCGATTTCATACTTTTCACTGATCTCAAGCCTTTTATAGTATGCTCTGCATACCAAGTCTGTTCGTTACTCACGGAGAGGGTGCGGACTTTTAGACAATATCCAGCAGTTCACGACAGATCTTCGTTATATCAAAGGCGAGTCTAAATATGTTGCTGACGCACGGTCACCCATCCAAATAAATGCAGTTACTTCACCGGTGCTTTATCTTCTCACTATATGACCCCCCAATAACGCGCTGTCTCTTGTATGGAAGTAGTATATTCATCCCTCCTGTGTTCGGAAGTACCACTAGCCACTATCCCGGGTGATACCTCTATCAGTCTACCTTGCCCATCGTACCCTCCACTTATCGTCGTCTCATTCTCTTTGCGCTCCATGTGCCGCCCTATCCAAGTATCACACCCACATTACGTCTCATTGCTGAA